CATTTAGGGGCATTTGGGGGCATTTTGGGTTCGTTTGGGGGCATTTAGGGTCTATTTTGGGTCCATTTGGGACGGTTTTGGGTGCTCTGGGGGGGTCACCCGGCGCCCCCCCCAGGCAGTTCAAGAAGGCCGTGACCGACGCCATCATGTCCCGCCGGGCCATCCGCAACATGAACACGCTGTGAGTGCCGGGAACGGCCCCGGATCCCGCGGGAACGGCCCCGGATCCCGCGGGAACGGCCCTCGATCCTACAGGGGCATCCCTATATCCCATGGGAACAGCCCTGTATCTAACAGGAGTTTCCCTGGATCCCATGGGAGCATCCCCAATTCCGCGGGAACAGCCCCCAATCCCATGGGAGCATCCCCAATCCTGCGGGAATGGCCACAGATCGCACAGGGACATCCCTGTATCCCACTGGAATAGCCCTGTATCCCACGGGAGCATCTGCAGATCCCACAGGAGCATCCCCAGTTCTGCGGGAATGGCCGCGGATCCCGCGGGAACGCACCGGGATCCTACAGGGGCATCCCTATATCTCATGGGAACACCCCTCTATCCCACGGGAGCATCCCCAGATCCCATGGGAGCATCCCGGTATCCCTCGGGAATGGCCCCAGATCCCACAGGAGCACCGGCAGCTCCCGCATCCCTCCCTCCGCCTCCCCCTCCAAACCGAGAGCCACCGGACCCCTTTTTCCCGGGATTTCCGCGTCTATCCCGCCTAATCCCGCCGCCGTTCCCAGGTATCCGGACGCGACGCCGGAGGAGCTGCAGGCCACGGACAACGTCTGCATCATCTGCCGCGAGGAGATGGTGACGGGCGCCAAGCGCCTGCCCTGCAACCACATCTTCCACACCAGGTGGGAGCGCTCCGCGTCCCGGGATCGGGAAGGCCGGGATGYGCCCGGGAAGGCCGGGACGCGCCCCCTGTTCCCGGCTTTTCCCGCTGATGCCGCCCCCGCGCCCGCAGCTGCCTGCGCTCCTGGTTCCAGCGGCAGCAGACGTGTCCCACGTGCCGCATGGACGTGCTGCGCGCTTCCCTGCCGGCGCCGGCGCCGCCGGAGCGGCCGGAGCGGCCCGAGCCGGCAGCGGGAGCGGGAATGGGAGCGGGAATGGGAGCGGCGCCGCAGACGCCCCCGGCGCCCGTGCCGCCCAACTGTGAGTGCTGGGATCGGGGTTCCGGAGCCGTCGGGATCGGGGTTCCGGAGCCATCGGGATCGGGGTTCCGGAGCCATCGGGATCGGGGTTCCGGAGCCGTCGGGATCGGGGTTCCGGAGCCGTCGGGATCGGGGTTCCGGAGCCGTCGGGATCCGGGTTCCGGGGCCGTCGGGATCAGGTTCTGGAGCTGCAGGGAGCAGATCCTGCAGTTGTCCTTCCCTTGAAAGGCAGCGAATCTGGAAATTCCAGGTCCTCGGAATCCCAAATCCAGGAATTCCAGGTCCTCGGAACCCCGAATCTGGGAATTCCAAATCTGGGAATCACGTGTCCTCAGAACCCCAAATCTGGGAATCCCAGATGTGCAGATTCTAGAATCCCTCCTTGTGGTTCCGGAAAGCCGCGTTCTCGGGAACTCCGGGGGGATTCCGCAGCGTTTGCCCCCGCAGTTCCGCAGGGAATGCTGCCCCCTTTTCCACCCGGGATGTTCCCCTTCTGGCCGCCGGTGGCTCCTTTCCCACCTGCCGAAAACCCCGGAGCCGCGTCCGGAGCTGCGTCCGGAGCCGCTTCTGGTGAGCCGCCACCCCCTTCCCTATTCCCGCCCTSGGGAATGCCGGGGAGCCTCCGCTCTCCCCTCCCGCCTTTCCCTGCAGCCGGAGCCGCCCGTCCCGGTGATCCCGCGTCCGAAGCCGCTCCGCCCGGAGCGATGCCCTTCCCGCCGCCCTGGCTGGGAATGCCGTGGCCGCCGCTCCTGGGTAGGGAATCGGCTCCGCATTCCCTATCCCGGGGCCCATCCCACTCATCCTGGGGCCCATCCCAGGGCTCATTCCGCTCATCCCRGGGCTCATCCCACTCATCCCAAGCCCCCTCCCAGGTCCCATCCCGCCCTATTCCCAGCCTTCCCGCCCATGCTGGTGCCTCCCACCGGCTTCCCGGGACTCACCCTGCTCATTCCGCCGCCCATCCCGCTCATCCCGCCCTATTCCCAGCCTTCCCGCCCATGCCGGTGCCCCCGGCCGGCTTCGCGGGGCTCACGGCCGAGGAGCTCCGGGCGCTGGAAGGCCACGAGCGGCAGCACCTGGAAGCGCGGCTCCAATCCCTGCACAACATCCACACGCTCCTGGACGCCGCCATGCTCCAGATCAACCAGTACCTCTCCGTGCTCGCCGCGCTCGGGTACGCCATTCCCGGAAGCGGGAACGCGCCCGCCGCTTTTCCGGCTCCGTTGCCCCTCACGGATCCCGGTTTTTTGGCGCCCAGGTCTCCTCGGCCCGCTCCGCCTCCCGCCGCCGCCTCCGGGCGGGAGCAGCCTGCGGAGGAGCCGGCTCCGCTCGGCGTTCCGGATGATCCCGCGCAGCCCCGTCCCGAYGCTCCCGCAGGTACGAGACCCCGCCCCGCCGGCTTCCCATGGAGCTCATCCTGCCGTTCCCACGGCGGGAAGAGCCCATTCCCGGGATTTGGGGAGGCCGCCATTCCCAAAAGCCGCCATTCCCAAAGTCACACCACCATTCCCAAAGTCACACCGTCATTCCCAAAAGTCCCCATTCCCAAAGTCACCGTTCCCAAACGCCGCCATTCCCAAAGTCACCATTCCCAAATGCTGCCTTTCCCCCCCAAAAAAAAACATTTTGGGAAGCGCCTGCTCTCCTTTTGGGAATGTTAGCGCGGCGATCCGTCGGGAATCGGGGTGCCCGGTTGTTTGGGGAGCGATTTGGGAGCTTTGGGGGCCCTTTTCCCGAAATGGGAGTCGTTTTCCCGCTCTCTCCGCTCCCTTTTCCCGCTCCATTTTCCGGCTCTTTTGCGCTCCCTTTTCCCACTCTTCCCACCCCTTTTTCCCGCCCCCTGATCCTCCTTCCTTCCCGCAGCTCCGTCAGGAGCCGAAGGCTTCGCTCCGGATGAGGATGCCGACGACCCGGCGCTGCTGGGAGAACCGGACGCCGCGGAGCTCCGGAGGCGCCGGCTCCGGAAACTGGGAKCGCCGCCTTCCTCCTCCTCCTCCTCCTCGCACTGACATCCCGGCCGCTTCCGGGCGCTTTTCCTGCTCCCGAGCTTCCCCATTCCCGGCTTTTCTCCCTCCTTCCCTCTTCCTTGACCTTCCTCCCGCCCTTTCCCAGGAGCCGGAGCAGCCGCTTCCGTGATCCGCGGGCGAGGAGCCGCATCCCGCCTCTTCGTGCCGCTTCCTAATCCCCATTTCCCATTCAAAATTGGGAAATTGGATTCCCGGTGCCGGGAATCCCGCCATTCCCGTCCCATTTCCCATCCCGTTTCCCAGCCCATTCTGAGCCCATTCCCAGACCCTTTCCAGACCCTTCCCCATCCGTTTCCCAGCCCGTTTCCTTCCTGTTTCCCACCCCGTTTCCCAGCCTGTTTCCCGCCCATTCCCAGCTCCATTCCCAGCCCGATTCCCACCCCATTCCCACCCCGCCGCCCTTCCCGCTCTCCAGTGCCTCCGTGGGACCCGGCGGCTCCGGCTCCGTCACGAATCTCAGGGAAAACCAGCGGGAAGCGGCGCGGGAAGCGCCGGCCCCTTCCCCCCCTTTTCCCATGGGAAGGAGGCCGGGAAGCGGCTCCGGGGCCCGGATTCCCGATCCCGGCGGGAGCCTCTGCCCGGCCCAGCCTCCCTTTTCCCGCCCTTCCCATCACTTTTTTTCTTGGGAATAATTCAGGAACGGAGGGAAATCCGTTGCCCGAGACGCGAGTGTTTCAAGCGGCTGCCCCTTCCGCCTCCTTTTTTCCTTAAATAACCGATTTTCATTGTTTTTTTGGGTGGAAAAATGCCGATTTTGGGGCCTGCCACTTTAATCCAAGGAGGCCGAGCCCCCCCCCCTTTTTCCTCCTCACAAGATGGCGGCGGAAGGGGGGGGCAGTTATTTAATTTGTAAATAATGTACAAATTTGTAATAGCTCGATTGTATATAGGGCGCAATAAAGGTTGCAGTAAAGCTGGGCGGCCATCTTGACCTTCCGGTCCTCCAGCTGCGTCAATGGCCGCTGTGGTCGCTCCTGCCCTCAGGTCTCTATGGTTTCCTAGCAAGTTGCCATGGGTTCCCTGCCACTCTCTATGGTTTTCTGGGGGGGGGGCGGGGGTCGCCGGGGGTGGCGCGGAGCTGGGGCCGCTCTGGGCTCCTTTTCCGCTTCCTGTCTCTATGGTTCCGGTGAGGTCGTCTCCATGGTTACGGTCAAGGAGCCGGCTGACCGCTCTGGTCTCGTTTCCGGAGTGCTCTATGGTTGGGAAAGGGGCCGCTCTCGTTCCCCCTTCCGCGTCTCTATGGTTGCCCAGGTGCCTCCTGACTGCTCTGGTCCCCCCCCCTCCCCCCCCGCGTCTCTATGGTTTCCCCATACGGGCCTCTCTACCATCGAGAGGCCGCGACCGGAAGTCGCTCCTCGGGGCCCCGCCCCCTCCCGCTGGCGCCACATCCGGGTCCCGCGCTCCCTTGAGGCGGCGGGACAAGATGGCGGCGGAGGCGGCGGAGGCTCCGGAGGGCGGGGGGGGCGAGGGGGCGCCCGGGCCCGGCGGGGGCGCCGACCCCCCCGGTGAGGGGGCCGGAAGCGGCGGAAACGGGGCGGAAACGGGAAGAAATTGGGCGGAAAGAGCCAGAAACGGGGCCGGAAGGGGGAGAAATGGGGCGAAAAGAGCCAGAAACGGCACGGGGGGAGGAGAGATGGGGCCGGAAGAGGTAAAATGGGGCTAAAAGAAGCAGAAATGGGGCCAGGGGGTGAAATGAAGTTAAAAGAGGTAGAAATGGGGTGAAAAGGGGCGGAAACGGGGCTGGGAGAGAGAAATGGGTCAAAAAGAGGCAGAAATGGGGCCAGAAAAGGGAGAAGTGGGGTGGAAATGGAGCTGAGGGTGAAGCGAGAGCAAAAAAAAAGACAAAAATGGGGTGAGAAGAGGCAGAAATGGGGCAAGAAGAGGCAGAAATGC